AATTATACGAATAAGAAGGAGGGTTAGCTATAGGGTCGTGTTTGTCTCCAGTTTTAGCCAATAACTGCATGGCACAATTGGAAGTCAGGCTTTTTCAAGAGTCACTCCTGTTTCCGAAACTATTGGTCAACTGTATGGATGATTACTTTGCTATCTGGCAACATGGCAAAGAGTGTTTGGAGGACTTCCTTGGTTTAACGAATAGAGTAGATAAGTCGACTAAATTCACTATAGAGTTAGGAAAAGAGAATAAGTCACTCTTTTGAATGTCCTAGTTAGTAAAGATTGGATCAAACCCACAAATGCTAGTTTCCTTCTTAATTTCTTCTCGAACCATAATTATAGTGTTAAGGTAGGCGTAATGAAATCAATGAGACTAAGGAGTTTACGTCTAACAAACGCAAATCATCAAGAACAGGAGTTAGAAAGGCTAAGAACAATCTTAGTTAAGAATTATTATCCGTTAAGAGTAACTTTTAACAATTTCAAAATACTAAGCAATATGGCAAAGGGAAACCATTATTTGAGACAAAACAAAGAATTAGACAACACCTTGTCCAGGTTCCTATTGTTACCATTCTGCAAGCTTTGAAGAAAGAGATGTGAATTACTGAGGAAATGGGGTGTCAAGACAATGTATAAAGAAACACTAACGCTTTCTCGGTCATGCCTTCTTTTAGAGAATCTTCCGACTCCCTCTCCAGATCAGGTTGTTAAAAGGTTTACGTGGGGGAGACTTGTTGACCCATACATAAGAGGCTATCAGAACACAGAACCTCCTTCAAAGGTTTATGGATTCAGAAATCGGAATTGGCTGAACATGTCGTCGCTACAGGACATCAGATAGAGTGGTCTAAATCCAAACGTTTTGCCGTATATGGGGACTTCACAGCTAAGCGATTAAAATTAACGAATCAAACAATATCCTGAATAAGAGGAATAAATTTCTGAAACTAAGTAAGAACTATCTCTGGCTTATAAATAGAATTAAAAAGAGAGAAAGAGACAAGGAAAGGAAATAGTAAGAGCCACTGAGTAAGAGAGAACACTGATTACACTGATTTGTGGTAGTCTTCAAACCCTACTCTTATACGGATATAAGTAACGTCGATTGCTATAGCAAACATACGTTTGCTTCATCGGCACTCCCACCAAAGAAAATGCTATAGCAGAGGCCTGACCTTCCTTGAAATTCACTTATGCCCTGTGACTCAAGGGTACTCGTGGCAG